CTGTTTCTGGGGTTGAACTATACTACCAGTTAAAATATTTGCACTTATTTCTGGGACACCCTGTATAAATAACAAATAGATAAATAATAATTAATTTATTGGTTGTTTTTTTTTCGATATGATTAACTAAACGCATATAAATACCCACACTTGTTACTAGCCCTTTAACATCTTTTTATTTTAATAATTTATTATTTATAGATAATAATATACGATCCTTAAATTTATGGTATAGCTTACCTTCTCAGGACTAGTGACCCAAACCCTTAAAGGATGTCTAATAGGCTTAAGTATAGTATAATTTTAGATTGCTGTACTCTACTGATAATATGATTAAATAAATAATAAAAGTCTAGACTATATTATTCATATCTCAGTAATGTATGAAAGACAATTACAGCATTCAATTAATAACATAATAAGAACTCAACCCAACCCTCACATATTTCGGTACTCTCTTTGCGGTTGGGCCCATTGTTGTCTATTAAATTATCCCTTCTAATTTCCTAATATCATGGTCCCATCTCAGGTTCGGTCTTCTTCTAGGTCTTTTAATTCCTCGTCGGTACCATGTTGTCCGTTCTTCTTACCAGGTAAAAAAATACCAGGTGTTCTACCAATTGCCATTTGAGGGATTTGACTCTGTGAATGACATCTATGACCTGCATTTCATTAAGTTGTGGTTATAGTTCTTCAGGACTATTGGCAATTAGCTCTATGTCATCAACGAATCTTAAATGATTAGGATATTCTCCATCAATTTTTAATCCTTTGTTGGTCCAGTCCAGTTGACGGAAGATTTCTTCTAGTGTTGCTGTAAACAGTTTTGAGGATATTGCGTCTCCCTGTTGTACTCCCTTGTCAATTGGAAATTCTGAGGTTGGTTTATATATAATTAGTCTTTTGCTTTGAAAACCATAACTTAGCATAATTTAATAACATATGATTAACATTTTTTCATATCAGTTCTTGCATTAATAATTAATAATGCAAGAACTAAGGTAAGTGATAATTTAGCCCGAAACAGAGGAATATGGTTATAGAGTATTTTGGTGTATTGTGGCAAATTAGAATTTAGCTTATCTCTTATATCTTACAAATTTACTACCATAACCAGAAACATGTGATTTACATTTTACCTAATAATATTCTGCATCAATATTAAACGCAACAATTTGATTACCAATTAATATTCATTGTATTAATAGTTTCTAAATTTGACGTATTTTCTTTTAATTATGTCCAGTAAATTGAAATTGCATTTGTTGCGATAAATGATTAAAATAAATTGTTACGGCAGTAACCGTTGAAAAATTACCAACCTGTCTTTACTGGCATGCAGCTGTATTTAACTAAAATTCTACCAGAGTAGTGTTGCTTTCAATCTTGCCGAACAAGATTAACAGGCTGTCGAAAAAATAGAGCGAATTTAAAACTACTACCGGCTTTTACGAAAGGAGAGAATTATTATCCAATTAGAAATGAGAGATATAGACATATATAAGGAAGATATCTTATTGCTCTAATTTTAGTAGTTAATTATTTATTGTGGTAATTTTGAGTGTCAACTAATTAACAAAATTGTTAAAATTAATATTGTTTATTAATTTATTTATTTAAGTGCCTCGTGTTAAATTGCTCTAAAAACAATCAGGTATGATGTACAGGGTGGGTCAAATTCGACGCTTTTGTCGATTGATTTTTTATATGGGACACCATGTATATTTTTAATTTATTGAAAAGAATTTAAAATTACCTTTCCAAAAATATAACACACTTGATATTTTGCTCGATTCCTCTTCGAGATATAGAGTATATAAAAATTCGCCCGCTTTAAATAAGTAGGCTTTGAACGGCACCGGCTGTAATGCAAAAAAAATTTTAGCTGTGAGCATCAATTAAAACGAAAATAATATTTGCTATGAGAGATGCAGAATTTTATAACAATTTAAAATATATTTAACCAACATCAACACATTTAAACTATATCTCACAACAATAAAAATAAATAGCAAACCAGGACATGAGATTTTGCTACAGGTGTTCGACATATCGACCGTCTTCTGTTATATACAGACGGGGCAGTTTTTGAACATTTCTTGCGGAATTCATTAACTCAGTGGGGGTGAAAGATACCCTCTCATAACTGCTAAGTATTTCTAATTCTTGTCTAGATTATACAGAAGAATAAGGAACCTTTATTCTTCCGCAAATATATCCATAGGATTAGATCCATGGGCACTAAGTCAGGCGGCCTCGACGGCCAACGGCTGGGTTCTTGGTCAGCTATTCAATTATTCTTGAAATTGGCTGCAGAAATTTGCTGATAACTTCAGCGTTCAGAGGCGGTGCGTCGTCTTGCAGGAAAAATATGTTTTCGAGTTCCCTTAAGGGCATATCATCAATGAGGGGTCCAAAGCCTACTAGTTAAAAGTGGCGAACTTTTAAAAAATCTGTATTTCGAAGGGGATTATAACAAAATATCAAGTGTGCTATATTTTTGGAAAGGTAATTTTAAATTCTTTTAAGCTAATTAAAAATATACAGGGTGTCCCATATAAAATATCAAATTTTCCGTTGATAATTCTTAAATTATTAATTTTAAAAAAATTATATTTAAACCATTAAATTCTACGTAAAAATGTGCTTTGGAAATGTTTGCATAAAAATACAAAATTTTCCATAGCAAAAAAGTTACAGCGATTTGTTAAAAATACATATTTTTGAAAAACACCACCAACTCCGAAACGGTAACAGATTGTACCCCGTAACTCCGAAACGGTAACAGATATGCGGTTTTCACCATCATGTTTTTCACAAAAATTGAGCTCCAGACACCGATATTAGTTTTTGCCTATCTCCTATAGAAAAGGTTGTTTCCATTTAAAAGCGTCGAATTTGACCCACCCTGTACATACTTATTATGCTAATTGATTTTGCTTTTAAAAGGAATATAATTGGAAATATACAAAAATAAAAAGCGGCACTAAAAATATTGTTGTTTATTATTATACAGTGTGAGTTTTATATAAGTGCAAATATTTTTAGGGTTGGTAGATCTCGGTTAAAAACATTATTTCTCTGTACCGTTTATCAAATAAGTCCAAAATGAACCAGTTATTTTGAAAATTTCCTATAAAAATAATTTTTTTTTAATTTTGACAAATACTAGATCATTTCTGGGTTTTCTTTCTTGTAAGTTTAATCTACTACCTATGTTGCCATATTATAAAAAAATTATATTTGTTAAAAAAAACTAAAAAAATTCCAAAAAATTCCAAATTTTCCAGAGTAGAAAACCTCGCAATCATATTATTTGTACTTATTTAGAGCTCACCCTGTATAATTACCAGAAAATTAAACATACTACATTGTATTTCAATGTAAAATACACTGAAAGTGAAAAATATTAATTAAAGAGAAGATGAAAGAAAAACATATATTAAAATAACTAGCGTGTTTCTGGGGTTGAACCATACACCAGTTAAAATACTTGCCCTTATTTCTGGGACACCTTGTATATCATTACTCTTGCTTTGAAAACCATAACTTAGCATAATTTAATAACGTAGGATTCACATTTTTTCATGAGAAAGAAAAACATATTATATTAAAATAACTATGTATAAGATAAAGTCAAAATATTTTATTTTGGTAATTAATTTAAAATATTAAATTTAAAGAAAAGTGTCTCTATGATTAAAGTTACTAATATTCTTAAAGTTTGATATTGGTAGTTATAGGTAAATAACATAGATTAGGTACTCGTAAATTGACAATTAAAATTTCATTTAGAAAACAATAATTATTGTGTGTGTATAGAATGTATTATTTAATAAGGATTAAAAACTCGTTTGTCACAAATAATTAGGTTGAGTATCGCTATTGGTTTATTGACTATAAAGAAGAACTTATACTACTTAAGTAAGTAATAATTGTAATAACTACTTAATAACAATTCTTGAAGTTTGTGTTCAAATCGTTTTCCATGCGTTTTTTTGTAATTAATTGGTATTATTAAAACCAATGTATTAAACAATAAATTATATGGCAAATGTCCATTCTGTCTATGTTCATTCTTATTTATTATGCTAATTTTTTTATCCCATAAATTTTCAAAATCAAATTTACTACCATAACTTAGTATTATATGATTAACATTTTCTCTAATAATTGCAACAATAACAATAATTAATTAACATCGACAACAAAAGCAAGAATATCATTATTTAAAATCATTTTCTATCAATAGAGATTGTCAAGATCAATGTTTTTTTTGTTATTATAACACTATAGTTAACATAAAAGAAAAAATATTGTTTTTCTAGTTATAAATAAAATGTTAATTTAATATCTACTAATATTTTAACCACCGAATCGAGGTATAAATTAAAATAAATTAGCTTATTTGAGCTTCTTTCTGGTTGTCGTTATATTGCACTGAAAAATTATATTGACATAATAATTTTAGGACATTTATAAGATATAGAACTGAAGTTTCATATTTATATTTTAGCCAACCATACCAATAGGTATGGTAGGCTATCAAGATAGGCAAAATCACTCAAAATGAGTTATTTGGGTCATAAATGACCTAAACACAAAATATTTTCATGGTGTCTGTCTCTAGTTTTTGGTGGGGGTGGGGAGCGTATGGAAGGGGGTTAAAAATTTTAAAAAATCGTAACTCCAAAATTACAGCAGCTAGCGAAACGCGGTTTTCAATTTAAGATTAGAAATAATATTTGCAACAAAATTTGTAATAACATCAAAATCAGTCAAGGTCGCAGTTTTTGAGATAAAAAAAATTGGAGAAATTCCTTTACTTTACTAACTAAAAGAACTGCCTACCAACTTTTTATTAACATTTTTTTAGTATGGACGGCTGTACGTGCCTCCCGGCGCCAATTTTTTTTAATATCACTTATTAATCTCAACATGTATTCCATGTACCGTCTACAAAAAAATATTATTAGTTCAGTAAACTGTTTTTGTTGCAGGTATATATTGTAGATTATATTGTTATGCTCAAAAACACGTGAAAAGCATCAGGGCAGTGACTAGGCCCATAGACTTACCAAATTCAACGACCAAAAAGAAGAGCATCAAACAGAAGAACAAGGCTCTTCATATTCACTTGCACAATCATCAGAGTTCGCCGTATCATGTCAGCGATCACAAAGCAGCAGTCACAGTGGGAATCATTATGGGAGTATTTCTAGTTTGTTGGGTAAGAAAAATTTCTAGAAGTCTACTTAATTTTAAATACTTTTCTTTAATAATTACCGTCTGACCAAAAGTTTTATAATACTTTGGAAATTAAAATAATTCTAATATAATTTTTCATATAAAATGTTAAGTACCTCCTACCATTTATAATCATAACGCAATTTTAATCATAAAAGGCAACGTAGCACCGTAAAGTGTATTTAAATTATTTTTAGCGCTAAGAATATATTTTTGCTTTGCTGAGAAGCTTACTACGTCACAAATTCTCATCTATCTCTAATTTTTCTTGATTTTTATGAAAGTCAAATGTTAGAGCACTTATCAAAACATAGGCATCCCAAATATCATTCAAATCAGAATATCGATTCTTAAAATATATTAAAAAATGTGTTTATTTTTTTTAAGTTTGATGCCCTCTAACGAAGAAACAAAGCACTTTTGTATAGTGGTATATATACAGGGTGGCGCACCTCATTCGCCTCGGTTGATTATACGAAAACGGAAAGATGTAGAAACAAAATATTTTATGGGGATATGTGGGGAGGTAATGTGCCCAATTTAAAATTATTTTGAAATGGACAGGGTGTTTCAGAACTAAGATCCATACCAAAGTTATATTTTTTCTTATTGAACACCTGGTATTTTATTTCATTTTTGGATTCTTGGACCCAAAAAAGGTATTTATTATAAGGGTTAAATATGTTTAAAATCTTTGGTTTTTGAGATATTTAAAGATATTTAAATTTGCATGCTACAATAAAATAGATTATTGACACCCTGTACATTACTTTTCAGAATTAGTTCTTGTGCTGAGTTTAAAGGTAGAGAAATAAACTTACAGAAAAATGTTATTCCTTCCTTAAATGTATACAGTGATATCAAAAATTGCTGGTCTATTTTAAATATTCACTTTACATAAAAACTTCGTTATATCAAATGCAACACTATGTTTTTTTTAAATAGGTCGAAGCAGATTTAAATGCTCTTTCAAACTATATTAGGGTTTCCTATACCTATCTGGCCCAGATTTTGAATAAAAATGGATTTTTCAATAAAATTGTAATCAAGATGGCTAGTATTGTCATGGCAAGTTTCTAGTGACAGTTAGTAGCTATTTTCAAAATCGGAATTAGTTTATGGACTTATTTAAATTTATACCAGTTTACTTTTATTTAATTTACCTACAGTAGTTTAATAAATAGTATTTATTAAATATTTGTATATTATTCTATCAAGAAAAACGAAGAAGTAGTTCTTTGAATTATTTTACGTTGACTTGTAGATATATGGATTTTCTATAAAATAGCCAATTACGGCAAATTCATTTTATTCACTTCCAACGACAGGTCTCTGCCGAATCTAATAAGTTTTTTTATAAACCACACTACCAGCTCTGCGAAATAGGACAAGAAGTTTTTCAAAGAAACGCTTATCAGGAATATTCCTATTTGGATATCTTTGAGCATAAACCCTTGAGCAATTTTCCTCACAAAATAATATCACTAGTAACATATCTATTCGTTCCGTCAGCAGATACTGCTTTATTTTTCTTGATAAAATAATGGATACTTAGTTATTAAACTATTGTAGGTAAATTTAAGTAAACTGTTATAAATTATAAATAATAATGTCCATAAACTAATGTCGACTTTGAAAATAGTTACTAACTGTCACTAGAAAATCACACCAGCCATCTTGATTGCAATTTTATTTAAAAATCGCTTTTTATTCAAAATCTGAGCTAGATAGGTATAGGAAACCCTAATACAGTTTGAAAGAGCATTTGAATCTGCTTCGATTTATCTAAAAAAATACAGGGCGTTGTATTTGAAATAACGAAGTTTTTTTATAAAATATATCCTTAAAATAGATCAGCAACTTTTCATAGCCCTGTATAAATTTAAGGAACCAATACCATTTTTCAGTAAACTTTATTTTTCTACCATTAAACTCAGCATAAAAATTAATTCTGGAAAGTAATGTACAGGGTGGTAATAGTCTATTCTATTTTAGCATGCAAATTTAAATATGTTTAAATATCTCAAAAACTGAAGATTTTAAACATATTTAACCCTTATAGTAAATGCCTTTTTTTGGGCCCAAGAATCCAAAAATGAAATAAAATACCGGGTGTTCCATAAGAAAAAATATAACTTTGGTATGGATCTTAGTTCTGAAAGACCCTGTATATTTCAAAATAAGTTTAAATTGTGCACATTTTCTCCCCACATATATCCATAAAATATTTTGTTTCTACATCTTTCCCCTTTCGTAGTAATCTTCGCCCCGTCCAGATTAGCCCTGGCAGCAAAAAGGAGACGTTAACTGAAATCTTTACTTTACTTACAACATACTATTATTTAAAACTAAAAAAATAGTGGTGACACAACGTTGACTCAAATGTATATTTATTATAATTAAAAATATTGTTTATACAAACTAATATTTCCAGGTCCCTTTCTTCTGCATAAACATCGTAGCCGCCTTCTGCAAGACCTGCATCCCCGACATCACCTTCAAAATCCTCACCTGGCTCGGCTACTCCAACTCCGCCTTCAATCCCATCATCTACTCCATCTTCAACACCGAGTTCCGGGAGGCGTTCAAGCGCATCCTCACCGCCAAGTACCCGGAGTGGTGCAAGTGCGGCTACCAATCGGTGGCCATCAATAACGAGAAGTTCGTCACCGATTACGGCACGAAAACGCTGGTGGTGAACGCGAGGCGGAACGGTTCGTTCGGTGAATTTTCCAGCGAACATTTGAGCTGCGAATCGGTGAGGCAGACGAGGGTCAATTCGGCGGCCGACGTTCTGGGCGATGACATCAACGACATTTGACAGGACTACGACCACCTGCAGGACACTATGGTGTAGGGCGACTGCTGTTTAGATCAGACTGATTTCGTAGGTAGTGATAGATGTAGGGTTTATTCTTCCATTTCAATATTCGCTGATTTAAATGATAAGGATTATTATTAATCATAAAAATCTAGAAAATGTTAAACATTTTCTAGAGCTTATGGTATTAAAAATAAATATGAACCAATAAGTTTTAACGTTAATTTTTGTTTTGGAAATATTTATCGTATTTTATATTCCGAATATTAATGATTTAACATAATAATGTCAATCAGTTGTCAGAGTTAATAATCACTTTTGCTGTATTCCGTTCCAAAACCAGGCGAACCAGACCGGTAAACTACGGTAAAGAGCGGTTTCTGAAAAACGTCCGTTTGATACGGAATGGTTTGGTAAAATACTGGAAACGTCAAATGTTGACGTTTTCTAAATTTCAATACCTCTATTATAAAATTTATCTTTTATGCATTTTTAATGTACCTATTCTCTCCTTTTACGTTTGCTTTTTATTTTCAATGGAGTTTAATAGTGAACAGTACTTTTTATTAATAAACTGTTAAACTCTTTAGACAGCTCAAGTGAAGATTTGCAGGTCCAATATTAAAGCTACATTCGAAATCAATTCGCTGGCCGAGTGGCACTTCGACGTTAAAGTCGGCACGAAATTAACCATTCACAACAAATTTCAATTCGAATTTTGCGCATGCGTGTTTAAACGTTCTCCTGGCATTTTTTAGGTTAGTTGTTGGTTTTGATTTTGGAAGAGTCAAAATCCGGGACAGTTGTTAATTAAGTTTTCCAAGTTTTTATGTTTAGAAAAATGGAAACAAAAACGTCATTTATTGATGATTTTTTTCTAAAATGTGTCTCAAGCACCGAAAACTTTTTCTCGCCATTAATATGGGTCGGACACCCCATTTTTTGGGTTTTGGTAAACCCCTTGGTTTTCGGTCAAGCTAATTATTGAGCTGCAACAATAATAGCCGTTTTTTTTAACAGCAAAGCCACAAGTCCTAAGAAAATAAGAATAGCGTCCTTCACTCATTTTTCTTTTAATAATTATTTACTTTTCACAGGATTTAAATGTCAAATTTGTCATAATTGTCAAACGAAAATTCCGTGCTGAAGTGGAAGTTTGCAGCTTGCAAGCTTTCAATCCAGCTTCAACTTGCACTCTGGCGTCGAATTTTGTTGTGAATGAGTACACTGAAGTACATAAGATAAGCTTGCGTGCCAAAGTACGACTCGGCCAACGAATTGATTTAGAATGTAGCTTAAAACGGATCAATAATAAATAAACAAATCTAATCAATATTTATATTTTTATAGCTTACAAAACATTCACGATTACTTGTTGTCTTGTTTTTCATGTTTTCTTTAAATGTTCCTTACTTTAATAAACAATGGCTGCTTGATAAATTTAAATGGTCCTAAAAAGTCATTCTATTTAGTTAATGAAATTTATTTAACTGCCTACCTCCAGTGCTTTCGGATATAAATACAAAATATTATTACAAATCTTAGAAATTAAATGAGAATTTCACTCGAACTTTCAATATTTGCTTGATTTCTGTCACATAAATGACATTGATTGACACACAAAACCAGAAAAACCAGCCTTCTCGCGCTGGTTAGTTTGATGACAGTTATAGCCGAATTTTTCAGGAACCGTGTTCCGTAATAAGAAAACTTTCAGGAAACCGATAGAAACGGAACATAAAACCATAACCAAGATAAGCAACGGAATACACCCTTTATTATAAAGCTTTTTTATACAGGTTGTTTCAAAACACATATGCCATCTCTCGTGGGCAAATTCCTCACGTAAAAATAAGATTTATTTTTCATATCAACATAGGTCCGATTCTGCTTTGTTTCGTAGCTACAGGGTGTTAAAATCTTAATATTTTTTCGATTTATTATAATGTCCTTCCAAGTTCTTTTAGCGTTTCGAATGAAATTTTGAGGGTAAACTATAAATGCGACTTATTTTATCGCTAAAAAAGTGTCGACATATTCATCAGGGACGTGCATATGGGTTATCACTGGAATATTTTTCTTAAAAAAAGCATGTACGCCACTTACATTTTTCTCTTGTTAGCGAAATAGAGTAAGCAGTTTAATGCCGATTAAAGTGGTCTCTTGATTTTTTGTCGATTTAGGCCTCCTTAATGAGATGAAGGTCGGCCGTAGTGCAAGCAGTAGTGTGTCGATTTGCGGTGTGAGAGATGGGATGGTACTGGGTTCGATCCTCAGCCAGTACGGTCGCTTTATTTATTTAAATAAAAATATTTATTTATCTAAATAGACCGACCAGCGAGCCGCCACCTCAAGGAAGGCAATGGCAAACCACCTTGAGTATATTTGCCTTGTACAGCCTCTTAAATAGTGCCGTTCGGGTTCGGCGATAAACGTAGGTAAAAAAATGTAGGTGCCGTATACTTGTGAAACACTGATGACACACATCACAGGTACATGCGAGAGGTAGCCGACGCTCTGTATAGAGTATGGCACTGTAAAGGTGCGTATTCATTATCCGCACGAACGAACGAACGAACGAACGAACGAATGAAAGTGCGGTATATTTAGACGGGGACCGAACGCATGCGGCCGTTCGTTCGGTCGTGCGCTCGACCATCCGCTTCGAGTCCGTACATCAAAGGCGTTCGCCTGCGTGCGCTTTCAGATTTAAGGTGCGTATTCATTATCCGAACGAACGACCGAACGAACGAACGAACGAACGAACGAATGAAAGTGCGGTATATTTAGACGGGGACCGAACGCATGCGGCCGTTCGTTCGTTCGTGCGCTCGACCATCCGCTTCGAGTCGGTACATCAAAGGCGTTTAGACGTCAAGGTACAAAGAATACAAGGTATGATCGATAGCGGCTCCAATTTCGTTCAGTTCGCGCCCACCACCTGTGACGTCACTAGGAAAATAATGAATAAATAAAAAATAAAGAAAGTTGACAGGAGATCTGCATTTTTGAGGTTATGGTTAAGAATTGTTTATTTTTAAGACTTTTTAGTTCGTTTAATTTAATAATTACTAAAACCAGCAGTTCCAAAAATATATTTAAAAATAATAATTATCTATTAACATGGATTTGGACGATAATAGGTAAAAATACTAAATTTATTTCTATATTCGGTATAAAATTGTTAATTAGGTTTTTAGTTTGCGATGTTTATGGTAAATAATTTTCATTTTATTGCCTCTGAATTCACATGAGAACAGAGATGAGGATATCTATGGAAAAGTAACCACAAGAGGAATTGTTACATCATTTAAAAAATGTTGGGAAGTTTATTGTTTCCCATCGAAAAGTAGAAAATGCCAATGCAGATGAACGTATTGTAATTGTGATAGAAGTAATTCCAAAGGGTGAAGTTTATTATAATTAGTGGAAGTAATACCAAGGGTGAAGTTTATTATAATTAGTGACCTGTGCTTCTTTTTATATGTAGATGTTTCTGGTTTTGAGAATAAATCGGTTGAACCACACCCAAAATTTAAAGGAAGTATTTGCATACCCAGAATATGCCCATCAAGGGTTATATAGCTCAAATTTCCTTTAATGGTAGGCAATTATTCAATGCAAATTAACTTTTAAGCGACTGAAATATTAAATAGTTTACAATATGGTATATCACTAAAAATATAATATATAAATCACTATAAATATATTACTTTTAGGTACAATTAGGGCCCGATACATTTCAAAAAGTAGAATATTATTTTATATTAAATGAGGTATTGTACTAACAATCAATTTATATTAATAACGGAGATTAAAAAATAACAGAATAAATAGTTCTTTTTCTTATACTACAAAAATAAACTATAGAATACAACAGTATTTAAAAAAAAATAAAAAGTGATGTTCCGGCCGAGATTCGAACTCCGGTCTCTCGATTCCTAGCCCGACTCCTTATGCACTGCTCCATAGTAACTTGCTTAGCGATAATTCAATGACGGTATATAAACAAAAAAAAAACAGGTTTATAACAATATCTTGACGATTTGAACTGGCGCGCGAATGAAGAAATGCGTGCGGTCTTCTCGTGCGGTCCTATCGTGCGGTCCCCGTCCATACCACTAGCGTACGTTCGTTCGTTCGTTCGTTCGTTCGTGCGGATAATGAATACGCACCTTAAGAAGTAAGAATAACATAAACGCAATTTTCTAATGACAACCTTCAAAAAAGTTTAATATCTTTAACTTGCGAAAGTTTTAAATAAGTACTCATTGATTCCTCGTCAAAAAATATGAAGAAAAGTTCCATTAAACAGGGGCATGGAAACGCATTGTTTTAGAATTACAGGATGTTAAAACTTTTTAAAAGTTTTTTTCTGTTATTATCTTAATTACTTTATATACTATTATTTTTTTTATCTGGAATTGATGTAGGTTGGGGGTTAGTAATCATAACTAATAGTAATAATATTTAATAATAAATTAGGCAATTTACCGAGTGCGTCTCATACGTGGCTCACCCCTATAACTTTTGTGTTTCTTCAGATAAAAAAAAACGAGATTTGGTATGTTAGTATATGACATAAATTAGGATTGATTGACGTATTCAATTGTTTTTGGTCACTTCCTTTTTCACCGGAAATGACTACAACTTTTGATTTTTAAATGACACCCTCGGTATTTTTTTACTTTATTCGTTAGAAAATGACATTCTGAATATAATGACATATCATATATCAACTTTTGACATTTTCGCTTAAAACGAATTTTAAATTTCAATCTAGAGTGCTATGGTTATGTTAAAAACACTAATTCTTAATCAAGGAGCCTTGGAAAAATAGATTGGATCGTTTAATATTTTTAGTGGCTTGTCCTGGCCAGTTAGAAAATGCTGAAATCGTATTTTTAATCATATCTCAATTTTTTCAAATAGAACGAGGGTGGCTAATTAGCATATTTCGGAAAAGCATTTTTTACGAATAATTAGATACCACACATGTC